GACGGACAGACGGACAGACGGACAGACAGACGGACAGGGCCAAATCAACTCAGCTCGTCGCCCTGATCAAGAATATATATACTTTGTGGGGTCTGCCACGCCTCCTTCTGCCTGTTACATACATTTCAACAAAACCATTATACCCTGATTTCCCATTGAAAATGGGTTCAGGGTATAAAAATAAATAAATAAAAAAAAAAATACAAAAATTGTTTTTAAAAGAAAATAAAAAATAAGAATATAACAATTCAATACAATAATATTCAATTAAATAAAAATCAGTTAAGTAATTCATATGAAGCAGTAGCAAATATTATTGAAACATAGAAAAGTTAATTGACTTTAATGCCTTTACAACTTCTTTCATAAATTTAATCAAACTTGGCTTACAAACATTTTCAAATTCATCCACAACAAACTGTCAGCAATTGTGTGAACTGTCAAAAGTCAAGAGTCTCAATCAAGAAGGCCAAAACAAAGCCAACGAAATGTGAATGCAATGAAATTTTCAAAGAAAATGTATTCAAATACTTCCCACTTTCAATTTAGCGCATACTTTGCACAAATTTATAAATAAAACAACAACAACAACAACAATAAAAGGCGCACACACGCGCATATAGCTTTAAATATTTAAAGAAGTTTGGTTTGTTGCGCCAAAAGAAGATGTCAAAAGCTGAACAACAACAACAAATTCTAATTTTTTAAGTGAATTTAAAAATTTAAAACTTTTTAGCAGATGTCATTGGAGTAAAAATACACATACATGATATCCCCCTCACACACACACTCAGTGAAACAGGAAAATGAGCAAAAAGTTTTGACATTTCAAATGTTTCTGACAACAACAAAGTCATGTTAATAATAACTGCGCGGGTGTAGCAAACTACAACAACAACAATAACAACAATGAAAACAACAACAACAACAGCAACAATCTAAACACAAAGCAACAACAGCAATGAGAGGAAGAAGCTCAGCAACAGGAACAACGCCTGCGGTCTTTGCTTGTTCGACGCTGACGCTGACGTCGACGTCGACGCTGAAGTTGACGCCGCGACATCAGAGCGACCCGTCACATGACTTTTTGATTTCTGCAGGGCGCTTTTAAGCCAGTGTATTGGAGTTCTAATTTATGTTGTTGTTGTTGTTGCTGGTGCTGTGGTTGTTGTTGCCATTACCGTTGCGGTCGCCACATCCCAAGCAGTCAATTTATTTTAATTTCTAGCCAGCGGCACTTTATTTATCATGTTGTTTTCCCAGACAGCCCAAGCAGAGCCCGATGGCAGGACGTTTGGGACAAACGGACCAGCGGACAGTCGGGACAGTGGGGACAGTGGGGACAGCCGGGATGTGTTGCGTTGCAGGCAACTTATTAGCCACATTGTTGTTTGCCTTGGCAATTGAGCAGCGCGAGTCAAGCAGACGACGAGACGCTGTCGACGCAGGTTGATGTTGCTGTCTTCGTTGCTGTTGTTGTTGTTGTTGTTGTTAGGGGCATATTGACAAAGACGATATTTGGTTGACTATGAATATGCTAGACGATAGCTTGTTAAAATGCCAAGGAAATATTTACAACAGAAAATCTATACTAGAAGAAAGACGAGAATCTGGCAGGCTTCCTTCCATTTTACCTTAATGACGGCATCATTAGAATTATGTAAAAACAAAATCAAGTTTGCTTTTTACAGAGTATTCATGCAGCTGTGCTGCGTAGCTTTGCGGCGTTGTTGTTCGGTCTGTCGAGCTGCGGCTGTCAATACAACTAGTGCCACGCACAGCAGCTAGGATATGCGACTTATCTGGACGAAAACATGACCAGGGGCGGGCTGGCTAACAACAGCAAACGAGCTAGATAAGTTGTGTGTCTGTGTGTGTGTGTGTGTGGCTGACAGTCTTGGTCTAACGTGCACAACATGTTTAATCTAATAAAGTCGCTGGTTGGCAACTATAAAATGGTCGCCAGCGCAGCTCGCCCAGCGCCATAAAAAGACGTTGCCTGGCTGTAATAAGCGTATCAAGTGCCAGGCACACACACACACACACACTCACACATGCACTTAAAGCAAGCAAAACAAACAAATACACACACACAGTAGCATATGTGTGTGTGTGTCTCTGGCAGACCTATCGGCGTCGTCCTTGCTGCTCGCTGCTAAGTGATGGGATAAATGGCGGTGGATAAAAATTGGTCGTAACTGCGACAATAGCAACTTACCAACAGGGTTTCACTCTACATGTATGCGTTCGTGTGTGTGTGTGTGTGTGTGTGTATGTAGTTGTGGCAAAAAACATGAAAATTTGATAAACGTAAAACCTAAAAACAAAACAAAAAGCAGACGACGAAACTTTATGCGCCATATGCGATATGCGCATAACAAAGTCGCAGTAAACGCACATGTGTGTGTGTGTGTGGGTGTGTGTGTGGGTGTGCGTAATTTGCTAATTACCTAAATGGTTGCAAGGTAGTTTATATAAGCCAATGTGTAATTGTGTGTGTGTGTGTGTGTGTGTGTGTGTGTGTGTGTGTGTGTGTGTGTGTGATATCGATGAAAAGCAAACAATGCGCTGAGCTTGGTCCTGAACACGAAAGTAGAACATGTGTTCCTTGGACCCGGCTAAAAAGTCGAGCTGAGTGGTGACCCCATTTGAGGCTGTTATGGCCAAAAGTGAGTTAATTGAACAATTATGGTAACGATATTGCATACGTTGTTACCAATCAAATTACATACCATTGCAGGGGACAGACATTCGCAAACAATTTAAGCCAATTGCCAGCAAATTGTAAACCCGTCAACTCGCTCTTAATGGCTAACAACTTAAATTATTTGCTGGCTGCTTAGAAATTTTACATTCTATTTATTGATTGGCCATTGTGGGGAGTGTAGAATTTATGACATCACTTGAATATTTGTACTGATTGACTTAATTAAGTTTGTAATCTATTTAAATTTTGCTTTGTTTATTCGCATAAATATTTTCAATTGGAGTTTATTAATTCGATTAAAAGCATTTTGATTATATTTTATATATTTTTGAAATACATTATTTTATTACTTAATTGGAATTTGTAATTTCTTTAACTTTTGCTTTGGTTGTTTATATATAAATATGTAAATGTGTAATATATAAATGTATATGTTGATTTTTATATTTATTTAATATATATGTATATTTGAAATAAATAGAAATTTTGTCATTGAAAATATTAAAATTTTTGTATACATATAGATATATATTGGTTTTGTTGGAATGTATTTAACAGGCAAATGGAGGCGTGGCAGATAATATAATTGGAATAGTATTATTGGAATTTTTCAAGTTGAACTATAACCAAATAATTAATAAAAAATGTTATTGAATAATTTTGGTTAATTTTATTTTAATATATGATTATGTAGAATTGTAATTCTGGAATATAGATATCATTCCAGTCCTATTCGCGTAAGTTAGACATTTAAAAAATGAAATTTGTATTCCTTTTCAACACATGCAAAACGCGCTAATTGCTCATTTTACGAAAACTTATTCCATTTTTCCATTTTCTTATTACCTATCAGAAAATAGATAATTTGGCTTCGTTTTGGTGTGTAGCTTGAATATGATATAATATGGAAGCAATCGTTTTCTAAGCTTCTTTCTTCTAATAAATACACACCTTCCTGCCTGCCTCGTAAGTTCGCCATAAACGCATTGCTAGAAACTTGTCCCCTAGTAAATTCATATGGTCTGCAATCCATATGGCCTATGCTGCAGCTACAAATTGCACAGTAATCAGAGTGCGTTTGTGTGTGCGTGTGTGTGTGTGCATGTGGAAACGTAAAATTATTGGAATATCAAGTCTTTGCAGGTTTCAAAGCATCTCTTATCGCCTTAGTTCCGACTAGACCACTCTTGCTTATTTTTTTTTTAATCCTAGCCTTAGCATCAATGCATCATCAACAGATTCCATAAGAATCTCTCGAGCTTATGCTCATTCTCTAACTTGAACTATCCAATTAAAGCCACTATAAATTGTGCTACACTTTTATATATATGACCATAGCCTATAGATAATGCCATAGATATATAGATAACGTAAATAAAGAAATATATGAATAGGTTAGAGATCTACGTACATATTCGTATCTTTTATCAGCTCAACTCACTCGACGAGTCACAAATGCCATCTTTATTATTTATTATTTTCTCAGGCGCAAAATGGAGCTCGGTTCGCACATGTTTCACAATTGCTGCGGAAATGTTTGATAGAGCATCATCAAATTTGAAACGGATGCAATAACAAATTAACAATTTCCTAAACACATGTCGCACACGAATCTGTTTCGAGAAGTGAAATTCGAAGACAATTGTGCGGCAATGAGCACGAGCTGGCATCGTTTTTATTATTATTTATTATTATATTTATTTTTAGCGAGTGCTGCTGCATTTTGATTTGCTTTTGATTGAATTTGCAGTTGGATGCACTGATAACATTGTTCGTTGATCGCTTCTTCTTTGCAGTGCTGGCGGCGCAGCGTGATTCGTACAAGTCGAAGGATGTGGGCAGCAGCAATAATGCCATACCGAGCGATGGCGACGCTCCAGCTGCCGTTGCTGGCAATGGCAATGGCAATGGCAATGGCAATGGCAATGGTGTTGGCGGAAGGGGAAGCCTGGCCAGCACGACCAGCAGCGGCGGAAGTAACAAAAATGCGCCGGGCCCTGGCCAATCAATGACTACCGACAGCGGCTCCAAATACAGCTCCAACGCCAACGCCAACTCCAACTCCAATTCCAAGTCTAACTCGAATGCCAACACCAACTCCAACTCCAACTCCAACTCGAATGTAACGACAACAACAACAGCAATCAGCGGCATTGCCAGCAGTAGTTTGCATCGGGGCAACTCGATAGCATCGCTGGCTGCCGCGGCCAGCATCAACCGGAACAGCATCGACCTGGGCGAGGATTCGCGCAGCAATGGGCCCTACTTTGACAAGGCTGCCTCCAAGAATGTCACCGCGCTGCTGGGCAAGACGGCCTACTTGAATTGTCGCGTCAAGAATCTGGGCAATAAAACGGTAAGTGGAACGCAAATTGACTAAAGCCAAAAGCTGTTGCAATTTTAATGCCATTAGTTGCCATCAAAATACGATTTGTAATGTGTATGTGTGTGTGTGTGTGTGTGTTAGATTTCATGTTTTTCAGCTAATTAGCACGTAAACTGCGCCCACATGGCGGCTTTGGCTAATTGTTCCGCTGCCAAGCAAAATGATTAATTATACTGAAACAGGAAACAGATTTTACTTTATTCAACTTTGCCGTTGTCGTTGCCGTTGTCGTGCTGGGCGCGGAAGGAAATGCCGCAAACATTTCGCAAAACATACAAAACTCAACTGCCTCCTGCCAATCCTCATCCTCATCCTCATCCTCCTCCTACCCCTCCGCTCAGGCAACACCACAACACTTCCGACAGAGGCTTCAGTCAGGCAATTCAGCCAACCAACCAAACCTGCTAAACTATTCAAATCGACTACGGGGACCCAAACCTCCAACAAAAAAGAGGAATAGCAAAAATTGAAATTTATGTTGCAAAGCTTTCATTTTGTTATTTTTATACCCTCAAAACTCAATGAAATCGTGTAAAAAGGGTGTAATGGCTGCGTGCAAATATGTTTTGCTACCTCAATGCCATAAACCGTATACATTATTGGCCGACAGCAGACGAGTTGGTCAATAAACTCGGAGAGATATTTTTAACGTGCATTCTTTTTACGGAATTCAACTGGATTTATCGATTACTTGTTGGGGCTTTTGTGGAATTTAAAGCTGAAGGTCTGAAGAGACTTACCAAATTATAAATTTGATGCTAGTCGAATTTTACAACAGTATCTAAAAATGGTATAAATAATTCCTAAATTGCATAAATCATATTTCTTCAATAGCTATACACAGGGTATTTCCAAGTCGTTCACTTTCGCCTTCACTCTTACTTGTTTGCCTTCAGGTTTTGTGCTCCATTATTTTTTTTGGGTTTTAGTTTTGCAACCTGCGCCGTAGTCATTCGGTTTCCGCCGCTTCCTGTGGGGCGGCCGACAGCGTCGTCATTGGTCCGGACTTATTTTTCGATAATAATATGTTACATGTCTGGGCCCCGGGTCTCACCTGCACTAGCGCATGGCTCTGGCTCGTTGGCTCTGCGGTTTCGAAAACTAATTTGCGTGATTATTAAATTCGAGTATCTGTGGCTGAGCGCTCGTTCCGGCCACGTTGGCTGGGTTGAGTGAAAAGTTTTTAGGGCCGGTCGTTAGATAGGCTGTCAGCACACAAGAAGATTTAGGTCAGGTTGGGTCAGGTCGGGGTACCTTGGAATTGTTGGCAACTTCATTAGATGCCAATTAGTTGGATAACTTCATCGATCATCGGCAGACAGTCGCTGAGTTAATTAACTAGATTTTTATGCCATCGATGCTTAATTAAATTCGCGAGACGAAATTCCTGCTCAATCGATTGGAATAACTTTTCTAAACTCAATTATGAAATCATAATTTTAAACGTATTTTTTTGTATGAAAATAATTATTTCCATTTATTATTTTGTTGTTTTTTTTTGCGTATACTTAATATTGCCAGAATTAAGTATACGTTAGATTGGCGTATACTTAATGCTGAACATAAGTATTCAGAGATCGATATAATATTTATATATACAACTAGAATTTTAAGGCCAAGTATCGTTATATGAATAATCGACTATGGCTACAATTAATCGCAGCCCCTTCGCAAAGTAATCGATTATTTTGTATCATATAATCAATCGTGCCATCACTAAAAATCATTTGTCTCAAATCAATTCGATATTCGTTCTTACCTCTAATTTTTACACAATCACCAAAGACTCTCGGAGCGTGAATACAATTTCATTTGTTTGGGCTGTCAGCTTAAAGTCTAATTAGCTTTTACCTTGTGGCATGCCACAGCCACATCAGCAGCAGCAGCAGCCACCCTTCTAACCGCAAGCCAAAGCTCAACCCTAAAAGTTAACTTTGAAGCTTAATTTCCATTTCGCTCATCCTCAGTGCCATAAAGTAATACATCATTGGCGCTCTGATTTCACCGGATCTGACGAAAAACTTAAGCCAGCCGACAGCATGTAAAAAAAAAAAAACAAAAACCATGAAGAAGAGGAAGCAGCTGGAAAAATTCTAAGGTGTTAGCCGCCTTCTGTTTTATGTGCGCGCGCTATGTAATGATAAACAGGCAGCGGATGTTTATGTTTTTCACATTATTAATGACGCTTTTCATTAGAGTCACAGTCGGAGTCGACATTTTACGGCTGCCGTTGCTGCCGATAACAGCATGCGAGCGGTAATGAGTTTTAAGGGGCGTGGCACGCTTGCGGGCGCCCCAATGAAAAACAAAACGCTTCTAAATAATTCAAAGCTAAAGTAAGGTCTGCAGAAAAAGTTTAGCTGCGTAATAATAGTAGATTCAGTTGGGTGTGTGAGCGACTTACAGAATACCCTGTAATGTGGGTGCATATTTTGGAAACCTTTCATGAATGCAATTAAATATATTTACGAACCAATTATAGACATTGTTCAATTGCTAAACTAGACTCTCTATTCGATGGGTCTAAGTGATGGCATGCCGCTTTTGGCTCAGCTGCTTACAGGGTATGCAATAACATGCGGCTAACAAATTTTAAAGCATACTTTCGTGCGCTCTGCAAATTGAGCCGTAAAACGGCAAACATTTTCCGCTGATTCTGTTTGGCCAGCAGCCAGAAAGAGTATAAACTCCGGCTGCCTTGCAATCGATATACAAATTTTACGATACTGTAAACACGCATAACGCGCATAAACTTGGCAATCGCTGGGTGTTGAGCCTGGCTGAATACTGAATGGAGCTAAATGAAATGTTTGCGGTTGTTGGCAGCCTAAACTCGGCTTGGCTTGGCTTGTGTGTGTGTGTGTGTGTTTGTGTATGAATGTTTCAGCACTTGCTGTTAATTACATGCAACTTTCTTTTGAGCTGAATGCCAAACTTTAGACTAACATTGCCTGTGCTGCCTTGCTATGGCACCTGCACAATCTGTCGTCGCTGCTGGCAGCAGCAGCAGCAGCAGCAGCGACAGCGGCTGTCCGTCGTCGGGTTTCTTGTCCATTAACTTTGCCGTCGCTCGTGTCGTCAGGCGGCATGCTGTTAAGCTGTTGTCATTGAAATTGAAAATGAAAATGCAAGCAGCTGACGTCTGACACGCGATACAGAGTGGGTGGCACGGGGAGGGGGGTGTGCTGTGTTGATCTAGTTGGGGGGCTGAAGTTGTGGACGTGGGTGTGCGATGAGTACAGCCCTAAATCACAGTCACTTAAAAATGTTGAGCTAAGACACGTTAACAGCAGGTGGTTGCCAAACAGGTGTGCATTAGCATGGGCGTGCCACACACACACACCCCCACACACACACACACGCACACACATTGCATGTGTTGCCTTCAATTTGACTCGAAGCAGTTGCCATTGTTGCCAGCGCCACGCCACGCCACGCCACCCCACAGTCCCACTGATAAGGGTAGGCCCTGTCGTGGTGGCCAGACCCAGAACGCACCCTCCGGCAAGGGTCGTACGCTGTGCTGACACATGTGTTGCCCTTGCGTCAAAGTTTTTACTTTTCTTTGGCAGGCGGCAAGCAACGCATAAAAACATTTCAAAATAAATTTGCATTTTCCATGCCCAAGCCGCAGGGCAACTCCGCCTCCGCATCCGCGTCCGCCCCTGCCACAGCCCCGCCCACACGCCGATGCCAAAGATTGTGCGTGAAATAGACTTTTTAAACTGTTTGCCCAATAAATTAAACTAAACATGCAAATGCTCTGGCTTTGACAAATTAAATCTTTTCGTGTGGCTAAACTTTTGATTCGATCTGATTTCAGATGCTTCTGCAAGTGTCGTGGGTGCGACATCGGGACATACATTTGCTCACAGTCGGACGCTACACGTATACATCGGATCAGCGCTTTCGCGCCATACACCAGCCGCAGACCGAGGACTGGATGCTACAAATCAAGTATCCCCAGCACCGCGACTCCGGCATCTACGAGTGCCAAGTCTCGACAACTCCGCACATGAGTCACTACATCCACCTGACAGTTGTTGGTAAGTTTCGAGTGGTCCATAGGCAATCCATAATATTTATAGTGTTTCGTCTCTCTATACTGATATCCTGGTAATAATAATAATAATAATAACAAATAAAACAGTAATAAAAGAACA